AAAAAAGAGAAAAAAAAGAGAAAGTTTGAAAGAGGCTTGAAAAAAGGTAGATTCTCCATTCTTGTTCTTGCATTCACCACATTTTCATCTCATTTCCATGATATTCTCATATTGTTTTCTCCATTTTTCTATTTTTTAAAGGTTTATAATTTTTTTTTACTTAATCTTTATTCAAATTCAACCAACTAAATCATAGTTGGGTTTGAAATAATAAAAAAAAAATCAAGAAACAAAAAACACCATCCACCATTAAAAACCAAGTTAGAAGTCCAGCCAAATCTCCTCCACCATGGTTGAACCTCCTTTTAGCTCTGCTTAAACGTTTTCCTTACTTTTTATGATGTTTTATGATTGTTTTGGTTAATGGTTCACATGTTATTTGTATAGTTTATGATTGGTTTTGTGGAATATGGATGATATTTGGCTAATTTTCATGTTATGGTTTCCTTGTCATTTTAGCTTCTCACATGTTTAGTGAAATCCTTTTGGAAGTAAAAATGCATTTGAGTCTTGGTTTTATAGATATTCAACGAATGCTTAAGTGAAATGGAATGAAGATGTGAGGGGAAAATTCCGTGATGGTTTGGCCCTTATGGGTTTCTTGTTTGGTCGAACCATGTTCTTCTTTTGGTGATGATTGATTGCTTGATTTCACATGTTTAATTGTTATTTTTGATATGTTTACTAAGTTTTTAATGTGTTGGGTTAATTTTTTCAATGGAAAAAATGTTAGTTTATTAGGTTGTGTTGGTTGATTTTTTATATTGTTTGGTTAGGTTTTGAAGAAAAAAAATAGTGGAACATTCAAACCAAATTCAAAAGTTTTTTATGTTTGATCCATTTTTCTCTTAAATTCTCATACACAACTTATTTGTAATTTAGTTTTACAAATACATAGGTCTATAATTAGTTTGTTTCTTTTCTCAAATTTTGGTCATGTATGCATTTTCTATGAAACCTTAAATTTCATAAAATCTTAAACTCTAACCCTAAATCTAAATTCTAAACCTTAAACTCTAAACCTTAAAATCTAAACATTAAATCCCAAACTTAAATTCTAACCGCCTTAAAGATTAAGAATGACCTGATAAACTTGAACTGATCTAGCAGCTGACTCTCAAAGTGTGTCAAATTAGTACCTTAAAGGTCCCACATGTGGACTTGATGAGATAACCGAGCTAATATGAACCTATAAATTTAAGTCGATTTGACACATCAATTAAGTCAAAATATCCAAAATACCCCTAACTATTTATTGACTTATACTAATAATGGAAAAAAATCTAATTTACTTTTTCAACCTAAAAATAATCCTAACACTTTGTCCCGTTGCCAACTATCATATGTTAATTTTCTGCAACTGCCATTGGGAGATTTACTGCCTTTTGGTTTACATCTTTGCGAAATTTTATAGTGTGCTGTGTTTTCTACACAAGTAAATTATTGTGTGGAGAGCTTGATCCATATCTCACTTCACATCATTGTCAGTACCGTTTTGCTATAATGAATATGATGGCCTTGTCAACCATCTAACATATCGCTTTCCCCTTTAAGACAGTCTCTACCAAGTGCATTTTATCAATTGATCTTTAGTTAGTTTTGCCTGTGCAAGATGACTCCACTTCTCTCTTATAAAATAAAAAGATACTCTGCGTAAAATGCTGAGGGCAAAATGCAATTTGGATAAAAAGAGTAAAAGCAGGAGGGAAATCATTTGATTGTTCGCCTTAATTATGTTGTCTTGTGTCATATCTGGTACTTGACGTGTTTCATATCTTCACTGTTTTCTACTGTCGAATGGAGAAAATCTAAGATGGAAGATATGTTCAACTAACAAAGATTTTCCACTTTTAAGCTGATTAGCTGACTCCAGTGCTTGCCTAACCTCTTTGCATCCATTCTAGCTTGATTGAAATGGATCCAAACCTGGCATTGGCTGGATAATGGATCTACATCTTATGAATGGGGAAATAGTAATGTGATTGGGAAACATTTTCCATTGATCTTTGCGCAAAACAAAAGACCTTTATGGTAGTTGTAACCATTTAGTAATCTATTATTGAGGATAACTCTTCAGGCTTCTGCCTATCATAAAAGTTTTTTTTTTTGGGTGTCCGTGTGCGTGTGTCCTAAATAAAAGCATCGATAGCACTATCTTTAATTAAACTTATTATTCATCGGTGTAGGAAAAAGGTAGTTTGTTCTAAATTTAGATAGCATCTGAAGGAATTTGTAAAATATGAACTGGCTGCATCTCTCCAAAAGGTTTGTGGTTGAGAGAGCCACTTGTCCAAGTGCAGCTGTGTGTGGGTCTGGGGCTCAAAGAAATTCAACATATGCTCTCTAGAGAATAGATATCCAGCAGACATAAATGCAACCAGATGAAGCAGGTAGCACTGTAATAGCCTAAGATTTTGACATCAGAAAGATTAGAATCCCTTCACCTCATTAGACAGTGAAAACTGAGAAGGGAGAAAAATATCACCTTGGGAAGAATGGAAGATAGAAGTGGATTGTGGACCAACTATTTGGGCTTCTCCACAGCAACCGCACTGCAAATTGCTGATGAAATAGTAAAAATTAAGAGTTTTAAGTATTCTATCAACATTACATACAGCTGCTGGCACAGTGTTGAACGCTCATGTAAGATAGTCTTGGAAAATTCACTTTGAAGAGCATGAGCCCGTGTCTTTGTTTCTATCTTTCTGGCCTTTTTTAAACATGGTACTTTGTTTGCTCTATATCTACCTGATTGGTGTATTTATTTGGGGCATGTTGAGAATTAGGTAAGTGTAGCCATCACCATATGTATTGAGTAGGGCGAGATTCAAAAACCTTCCCAACAATGTGAATACGGATAAAGGCTAAAGGACACATTATAAACATTGAGAGAATTAATCTCCGTATTGTTGACCCTTTGTACTGAAAACTACAATTTCGTAAGAAAGGTCGTTAAAGTCTTCAATATGAGCTGACAAGGTGCCAGATGTAGGAAAAAAAAAACGAACAAACAAAGCCTGATGCCCGCAAAGGCGTAATTCAGTTAGGGATGAGCAGTCGATTAGTTTGATAAGTTTGATTTGAAAAAATTAATAATTAAATTAATTAATTTTTATTTTACAAATAATTGAATCAATTAATAAAATTTTAAATAATCGTTTTAATTGAATCGATCAAAAATCAATTCGATCCAATCAATTTGGTTAAATAATTAAATTTTTCATCATTTTTTCTCTTATTTTAAATAATTCTTTAGTTATAAATTCAATCCAATAAAACTCAAATTCACGTATCATTCAAGCTAAATTATTAAAAAATTTAATAATGTTAACAATATTTTACAAAAAAAAAAAAAACAAATAAATACTCATCTAAACTTATTTAATCAAAATAAATTAAATAATAAGTTTTTAAAAGTATTTTAGTATGAAAAGCGCATTCAATAATTTCTTACAAAAAATTGATTAAGATTATTAAAGTCATTTTTTACCAAAAACATATTGAATAATCTCTAAAACTTTTTATGAGGGGATTATTGAATGCGTTTTTTGTCAGAAACCCTTTGAATAATCTTCATTAAATTTTTGTAAGAGAAAAATACATTTAATAATGCTTGCCTTTTTTTTTTGGATTATTCAGGTTATTTTTTACCAGAAACGTATTAAATAATTTCTTATAAAAAATTAAATAGGTTATTCAATATATTTTTTATCAAAAATACCTTGAATAATCTCAAAAAAATTTTATGAAGGGATTATTGAATGTGTTTTTGGCTAAAAATATTTTGAATAACCTCTATTAAATTTTTTATAATGAATTATTGAAAACGTTTTTGGTCAAAAACACCTTCAATAATCTTTTGTCATTTTTTTTAATTATTTAATGAGTTTTTGACCAGAAATGCTTTGAATAATCCCTTACAAAAAATTTAATAAGGCTATTTAAAAGTATTTCTTGTAAAAACGTCTTGAATAATCTCAAAAAAAAAATTTTAAATGAGATTATTGAGGGTATTTTTTTGTTAAAACGCTTTAAATAACCTCCATTAATTTTTTTGTAAAGGATTATTGAAGGTATTTTGGGTCAAAAATATCTTCAATAATCTTTTGCCATTTTTTTTAGATTATTCAAAATATTTTTGATCAGAAACATCTTAAATAATCCAAAAAATTGGCAGAAGATTATTGAAGATATTTTCCACCAAAAATACTTTCAATAATTTTTTACAAAAAATTTAATGAAAGTTATTCAAACCATTTTTGACAAAAAAACACTTTCAATAATCCTCTCATAAAAATTTTTAAGAATTATTCAAGGTCTTTTTTGTCAAAAATACATTTAATAACCCTATTTAATTTTTTATAAGAAATTATTCAAGACATTTATGATAAAAATACATTAAATAATTTTAAAAAAATGACAAGAGATTATTGAAGACGTTTTTTTATCAAAAACACCTCTAATAATACTTTACAAATGTCAAAAACTTATTCAATAATTTTTTATAAAAAATTTAATGAAAATTATTTAAAATGTTTTTTATCAAAAAAATTTTCAATTATTTTTTAATAAAAATTTTTTAAAATTATTTAAAGTCATTTTTATAAAAAAAATATCTTAAATAACCTAATTTTTTTTTTTGTAATAAATTATTAAAAATATTTTTTATATACACACTTAAAAAAATAATTAAAGGTTTTTTTAAATAAATATATATTTACCTTTAACTATTATAAATTTAATTGATTTGATTAATTTAATTATTAATTTTAAAAATTAATAATTAATTAGTTTAATAAATTTAATTAATTTCAAAATTGATTATAATTAAAAATTAATTAAATCGAACAAAATGATTATATTTTATCGATTTCGATGATTAAATTAGTTTGAATTGATATACGCACACCCCTAAATTCAGTTCCTTGGAAAATAGGCTCCCGGGAGCACTGTACTGATGAGTTTCTGTCAATTCTCATCGTAGACACTTAGCTCTCCACCCTAGGCCTGACAGGTATAGCACGCATCGATGACATAAGAAGTGCACAAAGTGAATGTCCAAAATGAGTATAATACTGTTAGTGGTGCGGAGGAAGCACTTACACATTATAATTGGTCTCTGGGGACTTATAAAGGGGTGGGGTCCGGCCATCCGGGATTAAAATATCAGCTCCTATTTTCACTTTTCTGTACTAAGGTGGGTTTCGATGGAAGATGTAGTCTGGACTCTGGACTCTGGACTCTGGCCTGATTTTTTAGTATGACTTTAAGAGCTGATGGGGCCTATTCCATTTGTCAAGTTGTTGAGTAGAATTTAGATGGATCCTGCTAAGGTTTTATGCATTAGTGCATATCATATTTATGGTGAATAAAACAGGACCACCACCAAGGGGCCAACATTAGTCATTTCAACCGCAAAATGCCATCACCACAACGACTTCTTCTTTCAGATCGTCATCTCTCAGTACTCTGTTTATTTCTCATTGATTTTCATCCTCAAACGTTAAATACATGTACAGTTCGCGACAACGGTTACAGATTATCCTTTTAACTTCTCTCCAGTCTCCACCATTCATGAAGCTTTAATAATGTCTCCAATCTCAAACTGCAACTGATTCGCATGACACATGTTACATGTACGGGGAATTACTACTTACGAATGTTACAGGCTCGTCCACTGTAACTCAGACAACTAGTTGTAGCTTCATTAAGTTCCCTTTTCTCCCATCCTTACGAGTCGGGAGTCAGGAGACGCCAACTTGGTGCTCTCAGTATATACTCCTCTGCTACACCAACTCTGTTACTGTGAGTGACATTATTCCTTCAATGAATTTCTTTTCAATCATTTCCTCTTTTAACTTATTCAGCCCTCCCTTGATCCAAAAGTGGTGTTTTTGCTTTTGCTTTTCATCTTTATCCAGGTCCTTGTCCGAGTTTCCCCTCATGTAAATTACACCTCTTTTCCATGGTTATTGCTACTACTATTTGATTTGATGACTCGCACTTACTTTGCCAGTGAATTAGTAGTACTATTTTCTTCCCTTTTTTAAAGTTTTTTTCCTTTTTTTTTTTTTTTGGTCTTTTGCGAATTAGCAGAGCGCACGATTTTCTGCTTACGATCTTATGTTATTGTTCTGTTTTCCTGAATACTTTATTCAGATCTGATGACCTTCTATTATTTGGTTGCCTTCTCGTGGAAACAGAAGTGTTGAGTTTCAGTCAGCATAATATTTTCTGCTGATCCTTGCCTCATTTTCTTTATCGGAGCAACTCTAATGAAGCAGCTATTCGCCTTGAATATAGCATGGCTTCTGGCGTCAATGATCTTGTACAATGGTTTTCCTGTAATTGGAGTGCGCACAAACGTTTCCACTAGACCAGAAGTTGTCAATATCGGTGCTATTTTTGCATTCAAATCTGTGATTGGAAAAGCTGCAAAAGTTGCAATAGAAGCGGCCATTGAAGATATAAATTCCAACCCAGATATTCTTCAAGGAACTAAATTAGGATTACAAATGAAAGACTCCAATTACAGTGGATTTATGGCAATAGTGGAAGGTACGTCCTCTTTATTATTATTATTATTTTTTTTTTTTATGATATTCGTAACATGTATGTTCACAATTCACAAGTTCAACCCGTCATATTTTCCTCTGGATGGAAAAGAAACGAAAATTTCTCATTCTTTGGTTTAATCACTGATTGAATTGCAGCTTTACTGTTCATGGAGAGAGAAACTGTGGCCATAATTGGCCCCCAGTCTTCTGTGACGGCTCATGTGATTTCCCATATTGTGAATGTTCTGCGAGTCCCTCTATTGTCATTCTCATCCACAGATCCTACCCTGTCTCCAATTCAGTTCCCATTCTTTATCAGGACTTCTCAGAACGATTTATATCAGATGGCTGCCATCGCTGAAATCATAGACTATTACGAATGGAGAGAGGTCATAGCAATCTACCAGGATGATGATCATGGAAGAAACGGGATTGCTGCATTGGGGGATAAGCTGGCCGAAAGACGATGCAGGATCTCCTATAAAGCGCGTTTAAGTCCAGATGCAACGCGGGATGAAATCACTGAAGTTTTGGTTAAGGTGGCTTTAAGTGAGTCAAGGATTCTCGTGGTCCACGTTCCTGGTAGCTGGGGTCTAACAGTGTTCAGTGTGGCTCAGTATCTCGGGATGCTGGGAACTGGCTATGTCTGGATCGCTACCAATTGGCTATCTACTGTCTTAGATACTAATTCTCCCCTCTCTCAAGATGCTATGAATGATATTCAAGGAGTTGTTACGTTGCGAATGTACACACAAGATTCAGAACTCAAGAGGAGATTTGTTTCAAGGTGGAGCAACTTAACCAGCGGAAACCCAGTTGGACTAAACACTTATAGTCTATATGCCTATGACACAGTCTGGTTGCTAGCTCATGCAATCAATGGATTTTTAAATCAGGGTGGAAACATTTCATTTTTAAATAATTCTAGGTCACCTGAGCTACATGGAGGAAACTTACACCTAGATGCTTTGAGCGTCTTCCAAGGAGGGAACTTGTTACTTGACAACATTTTAAGAACCAATATGAAGGGTGTAACAGGCGATGTCAGGTTTACTACAGATCGGAGTCTCGTTCATCCTGCATATGAAGTCATCAATGTGATTGGCACTGGCTATAGAAGAATCGGATACTGGTCTAATCATTCTGGCTTATCAGTCGCGCTTCCAGAAACCCTTTGGACTAAACCACCTAACCGTTCTACCGCAAGTCAAACATTATACAGCGTTGTTTGGCCTGGACAAACAACACAAAAACCCCGTGGATGGGTGTTTCCAAATAGCGGGAGACATTTGAAAATTGGAGTTCCCTATCGTGTTAGTTACCGTGAATTTGTCTCAATAAGAGGCCCTGATGCAATTACTGGATACTGCATTGATGTATTCACTGCTGCTCTGAATTTGTTGCCCTATGCTGTCCCATATAAATTAATTCCCTTCGGGGATGGCCGTACCAATCCTAGTGGCACTGAGCTTGTGCGTTTGATCACAGCAGGTGTAAGTGTCATGACTCATGAACGAATTCTTTAAGGCCTTTCTTGAGCTTGTTGCTTCTTTTCTGATTATCAAATTTTCATTCTTATTATTCAGGTATTTGATGCGGCTATAGGTGACATTGCAATCATCACTAACAGAACAAAGATGGCAGATTTCACACAACCATATATTGAGTCAGGATTAGTTGTGGTGGCCCCAGTTTGGAGGAAGAATTCTAATGCTTGGGCCTTTCTGAGGCCATTCACCGGAAGGATGTGGGCGGTGACAGCTATCTTTTTCTTGTTGGTGGGAACAGTAGTTTGGATTTTAGAGCATAGGATGAATGATGATTTCAGAGGCCCCCCAAGAAAACAAGTAGCCACTATTTTATGGTGAGTGGTATCTGACTTGCATGTATGACAGCACACTATTACTAATTAAAACAGCTTAACAGTTTGTCTGCTCTTAGCACTTTTGTTTGGTACAGGAAGGGTAGCATCCGCTTTTTAAAATTCCTTTTGTCGTTGTTTTTCAACTTTTGTATTCAACATAATTTGACCATGGGAAAGTTATTCCTAAAATGTTCAAGAAGATTACTTTAGTTGAGTGGTTTTTTCTTGGTTTTTCCTTGTTATATGTCCCTTCTTTTGAGTCAACTATGATGGGGATCATTGCTTCTTCTTCTTCTGAGTTACTTGATAACTTGTATTTCTGACTTCCTTGTGCAGGTTTAGTTTTTCAACTTGGTTCTTCGCCCATAGTAAGTGATACTATCTGACTGCAATCAGTTTTCTACATACAGCAGCCATGAGCATAAAAGTATGTTTTCTTTAAACTTACAAAACTTGGTGCTGCTGCTTTTTCTTTTTCCTTTTTCCTCAGGGGAAACTACTGTCAGCGTACTTGGTCGCATAATTCTTATTATCTGGCTATTTGTCGTTCTTATAATCAACTCTAGCTACACAGCAAGCCTGACCTCAATCCTTACAGTGCAACAACTTACTTCTCCCATTAAAGGCATTGAAACTTTATTGTCAACCAATGATCCTATTGGGTACCAGCAGGGATCATTTGCCCGAAATTATTTAATTGATGAACTAAAAATTGATGCATCAAGACTGGTTCCTCTGAATTCGCCAGAAGAATCTGCAAAAGCATTGAAAGATGGGCCTGACAAGGGTGGTGTTGCTGCAATGGTGGATGACCGTGCTTACATCGAGCTCTTTCTCTCCACCAGATGTGAATTCAGTATCGTGGGTCAAGAGTTCACCAAAAACGGATGGGGTTTTGTAAGTTAGCCTTCTTTTGGTGCTTGTAATGCAATTAATATTGCAGGTTTTACATTGAGAGTTAACAGAAAATTAATGGTATTGTTGTTCATCCAACAGGCCTTTCCACGGGACTCTCCTTTAGCAGTGGACATGTCAACTGCGCTTCTGAAACTCTCAGAGAATGGGGATCTTCAAAGGATCCATGACAAATGGCTGCTAAGGCGGGCATGCAGTTATCAAGGTGCAAAGATGGAAGCGGACAGGCTTCAGCTTAAAAGCTTTTGGGGCCTATTTGTCATATGTGGATTAGCTTGCTTGATTGCTCTTTTTGTATATTTCTTTAAGATGGTGCGGCAATTCAGCCGGCACTACGCTGAGGAATTGGAGTTATCTGGGCAAAGGTCCCAATCTGCACGCATTCAGACGTTTCTTTCGTTCGTGGATGAAAAGGAGGAGGAGGTTAAAAGTCGGTCCAAGAGAAGGCAATTGGAGAGAGCCTCTAATAGAACTGAAGATGGATCAGTTAGCAGCTCCAACTCCAACATAAGAAGCAATAGTGAATTTGCTTCAAACAAAACCATAGCAGCTAGTTGTGAAGTCTAGTTTTGTTACATCTATTTGATAATAATGATAATAAGGATATCAAAGTCGCTCTTTAAAAGCTAGCCCTGTCCTCGGGCAATTATATGGTCCTTAGTAGGCAGGCGTCACTATGGCTGGGTCTTCTATGTGGGCATGCAGTGTTATAACAAAACATGTGGCACTTCTCTTTCATATGGTGTAAAACGTATTGGCATCTAGTTGCAGAAGCAATGGAGTTATGGCATCTAGTTGCAGAAGCAATGGAGTTATGGTAAATCATGTAAGAATCACGTTAGCACCCTCAGCCTCGGCACAAAGGGGCCAAGGCGTATCTAATTTGTACAGGCTTCCTTTTCTTCCATTTTTCTTTCATAATTGACTCCAAGGATTCACCAAAATTATGGGTTCCCGTAAAGGCTTCGCTTTTCATCAATTACCAAAATTGTGTTCTTATCAAAATTAAGTTTGTTTCGTTGAAAATAATTTTTAGAAAATGATTTTTATATTTTCATACATTTGTTTGACAAAAATTTAACTGACGAATCAAAAATAATTTATTCATCGACAAAAAAATTAAGTTTTTTTTTTTTTCAAATTGTCTTCCCTTTTTTAAAAAAAAAAAAAAAAAGAAAACTCCTAATAAATATTATCTGTGGGTATGATTGTTTACCAAGCTCGTGAACATTTTACTCAAACTGAACCTTGAACATTCAAGATGCAACAGACCAAATATTACAGTAATGATCGTAATTTGATCAAGCCGGGTGAAGGTGCTGCTGCTATATATATCCTCTTCACTCGGAAATAAAAAGTATAATAGGAATGGGGGCTGAGCAAAGAGTTGCGAGGGTGAATGCAGTGCGTTATCATGTGGGAAGGCCATACCCTTTGGAAAAGGTTGCAAAAGGTAAGATAGCCATACCAATCAGTCAACTAAAACAAATACAACATGGCAAAGGCAATGGCAAATAAAAGACATAACAAAGATATACATTACTAGATTACAGCTAGTATTTACAAATTATCCACTAGCTCCGACGACCAGTGAATGAGATAGCAGAAGCATTGCCAGTCTTGTATGGCAATCTGAAGCACCACTTTTGAAAAGCATTAATCTTACTTTAGAAACTCAGAAGATGACTAAAGATTTTCAACAGCATTGCTTTTGAAGTACTTCTGAAAGCATTCCTCTTCCCTGCAGTGCCTGCTAACAACTTTATATACTTCAATAAAGAGTCTCGGGAATCGACTAGCAAAATAACCATCGAAGCCTTCTGGAACCGGCCCTACTAGTTCCTGCAACAGTAGCCCACAAAAAATGCTCAGCCACAAGTAACAAATGTTCAGGGCAATTAGTACATGTGATTTTTGAGGTAATTTGCAACTTCCAAAGCATTCACCATGTGCCAGATTGCTCCGCCATCCTCCATCCCCTCTCTCTTCTCGAGCATAAATCATTATGATTATTCGAATTATAGTATTATGGTATTATTCAATAAAAACACAGCTTCAAATAATATTTTCAAAGGAAAAAGAAACAAATGAACAAATACTTTGAATGATTGAGTTCAAGGTTATGACCATCTTAAACAATCAGGTTCCAATTTCATATCCTAATTTATATTCGGATGAAGTCTAAAACCTGACTCAACTCATTGCCATGATACATCAAAGAGACCTTTCATCTATCTATTCATTCCAAACTCAACTAACAAGCTTAGTTTAATGAGCAACTCCTAGGTTTAGATTCAAACCTGAATTTCTTTGGGAAGCTCTCCATAATGACTTGATTTATTTCTCATGACTCGCAACAAATCCCGAACACTGTCAAACTTATAACGGCGGTAATACCCAATGTTAGCAAGGAATGCAGGTTCCATTTTCTCATTCCACTTTCCACCGAGAGCCATTGGTGCAATACCCTCCAATGCTTTCAAGATGTCAGAATCAGAATTCCTATCTTCTAATTCAACCCTGTCACTAGTGTCCCGAAGAAATGACAGTCTCATCTCACAACTCCAAAATAGAGGATGATGCAAGACCTCCAATGCATTCGGCCTGGCAGTGAGTTAGAAATATCTTATGATCATAAAAAGAAAATATTATATTGAGATCCAGAAGATTAAAGAAGAGTTTACTGCACAGCAAATATCAAGTTTATTGCATTTAAAGAAAGAGTGCCAAAATTGATGGTGAAGGAAAACTATCATCATATTCATACCTCAATTCAGGCTCAGGCTTCAATAAACGAGAAATCAGATCAACAGCTTCAGGGATATGCTCCACTGGAAAGAGGTTCACTCGGTTGTTGACAACATTGATGTCACGTTCAAGATGATTGCCAAATGGATGCCTTCCCTGAGTGATGCAGAAAAAGAGGACACAACCCAAACTAAATAAATCAACTGCACGAGTTTGGCGACCATGAAGAAGTTGTTCCGGTGCTTGCCACCCTGAACTACCACAGCCTGCAACTAAGCTTGCAAATATCAGACACTAGCACCAATAACCAATTAAAAGTTCTACAGTCAAATTGTTAAAATAGGCAGCATTCTCATTGTTTACAAATTCCATAAACCCAATAAAATATATGGAAGAACTTAAATTTGTTACCCTGGGTCCTTGCTAGAATATATGAGTACATCAACCAGCTAGGTCACTAAAACCCAAGGTAAGATAACTCTTACAAAGAGTACCATTAGCCAGCACAAATTTCAAGTAGTGTAGATAAAATATGAGACCAACAGATAAAGTAAACAGTAAAGATACTTGCCGGTCGCATAGAGACCCAAGGATGACCTATCCTCAAGCAGGCGCTTGCTAATACCCATATCAGAAAGCTTTGCACACACTGTTTTTTCCTTAATTATTAGCACATTTTGAGGCTTTAAGTCTCGATGAATTATTCCCAAATCATGCAAATGAGCAAGACCAGAAACCATATCCCTGTATACATATGCAATATAGAGGATGAAGCAGATGCCAGGCCAAATTAAATCTGGAATCAAATAAGGTCTATTGACTTTAATTGAAAGTTGCCAAGGCAGGAGATTAAGATAATGGGCAACACAATAAAGTATCAATCCGAGAGTAAATGAACCTCATAATTTAACAGATAACTAAAGCCCAAACTAACCTCATCAGTTTTAGGAAAAGTGGTGATGGATGGCCATTAACTTTCCACAAATTAAGATCCTGCATGACACCTTTCACCAAATCCAGGTGAATTTTATGCTCAATCATAGCACGCATAGCTTGGTCCTTGCTCAAGACTGGGTTTCGAGATGTATTTGAGTAAATATGAATCAAATCATCCAAACTGCAAGTGCAACGCTCCAGAGCAAGATACACAAAATCTTGATCATACTCTACTCCATACCATCTAACAATATTCGAATGCCGGTCAGATGCAATGAGATTTTGAATTTCTTTAAAAGCAACATCATGATGAGCTTGGACAAGGCGCTTCACAGCAACTGCTCGGCCTTCGTAGAATCCCTCAAGGACAATTGTACCATTGCTTCCTTTTGCAATTTCTTTGCTTGATACCACTAGCTTGCCAATTCTACGTCCATCGATGCCACCATCAACAAGTTTATTAAGGTCTAGCAATATTTTGTTGTCACCACCAGCAGGTGAAAATCCATCCTCACTTTCAGATGATGTGTGCTTATCCTTTTTCTCAACAGATCCATTACTCTTCCCTGATCTTCGGGATTTCTTCCTCTTGGAAGGTGCAACATTGAAATTAGTATCAGACTGGTCCTTTAATGCAGCAAGCTCTTTGGCCAGAAGAATATGGCAGGTGCCAAAGGCAGCCAAAATTATGAAAATTAAAATAAAGGACAATACTACTGGATATTTGGCAAAAATGCTCAGGCCATCAGTACGAGGTGTTCTTAGATCACTTACATCAACTATTCTAGAATCATTATTCTCCAAGGGAGGCAGAGGGACAATTGTTTTATTATCACTTTTTTGAGAAAAGTTTGATAATTTATCAACATTAGGTGCCAACAGAAGCTTTGACTCTGGAGCAGCCACTAGAAGCATCTTCCTATTATGATGGTCATCTAATGTCCTATCAAACTTGGTCTGTGAATTAGGCAATGGGAGCATTGGATCATCATGATTAGAAGTTCTTATATCTTCTAATGTATCATGCTCCCGAATAACAACACCTTTTGATTGGCATGGAAATGGAAAATTAAAATCACTGCCAATTTCAGGATGCTCATAGCTTGAATTCAGGGTAGATGTAATGAAAGGAACATCAACATCCTGGCAAAGTAAAGCAGCCCCAATTTCAGCAACCATCAGACTCCATGAAATCTTGTCTGAGTTAGGATGGAAAGACTGCAATGTGTAATCAGTCCTTGTGATATGGAATCGCTGCTGAGCAGTGTTAGCAGCAGAAGACTTCAACAGCTCCTTATTACCGTTATCATTATATACAGAAGTCTCCTTTTTGTCACTCTCCAACATGGATGGAGAATCAGGTGACCTATAAACATGCAGTAGTCTTCCAGTCATAGCATCGACCACATACACAGTTGTCCTCTTAGAGCCAAGTGTGATTGCCCCATCCTCAGATACATGAGGCATGTGTTTGACAAATTCTTCAACAGTGACAGAAAGCTTCTACAAGTCCAAAAATAAGATAAGGATTAAGACAGATGTGGGCAATGGCAAATGAGATAGTAATATTATCGAACAGCATAAAACCTTGTTTGATGTCAGGGTAAATACAGAAAACAGGGATATTTTGAGAGGCAAACCTAAACGTACATCATGAAAAAATCTGAAGCAGAAAACCTATCACGTACCATTTTATTAGTGCGGGTGGCATGCGCATACAGCTCCCAGTCATCTCCACAATCAATAAAGAAAGCAGTGCTTGGTTGGGAGGCATTTTCATTGCCATTATCCAATGTCGGTGGAGCCTGATAGGAAGAGTAAATGGGAGATCCTGAGGCAAATGACCAGATTACTCTTTTTGATTTTTTAGTCCTTAAAACAATGGTACCATCCGTTCTAGCAGCTAATTCTGTTTCTTGCTCACTGTTTCAACGTAGTAATACTGAATTTTAAAAATATATACTAACATATAGTATATGAAAAAGAACCGAAGCAATATATATGTGTATATATATATATATATATGTATATATATATATATATATTATCATAGGCAGACAGGTTGAAAGTTGTTAGTTATTATTTTCCATATCGTTATTAGCTTAAAGAAGTAGAACGAACTTGAACATACTGTCAAAAATGGCGAGATCAAAATTATAAATAAATAACGTGAAATTCTACTGCCACCACAGTTCTATAAACCTATAATTTAAAGCACGATTTATTATTATTATTATTATTATTATTATTATTATTATTATTATGAGTAATTAGTAAAGCATTTGAAGTTTGAACAATAATCAATAACTTTTTTATCTGTTATGATAGCCTGATTTCAAAAATAACAGGAAAAAAAAAAACTCACGAAATGGATAAGAGCGATCTCCCTCCGACTCTCGGAGTCTGCGAAGTTGACAGCATGATTGCGGAGGAGCTCTCGGCGTTCGGCACGTGGATTGCAGTGAAGATGGAGAAACCAAAGGCTAGAAGGAACAAGAAACACGACAGAAGCCTCCTCATTTGCTAGATTGATTTGATATGATATGGAAAAACAGATATATGTGTGTTTGATTTGAATTTTGGATAGAGTCAGGTTACTTAAAGGCCAAGAGTTTTGCTTAAGAAGATTCCAAGCTTCTTCCGAGCCTGCAATTTTAGGATCTCCGACTCGGTGGAGTTTTCGTTTTGGGGTTTTTGGGTTTTGTGACTTTCGTCTAAGTCCAATGGCTTTGCGTGCTTCTGACTTTTAATTACTTCATTGTCCCCTCTTTACTTTTCACAAATAGCGGCAACTTTACCATTAAGCCTTTATTGTTTTTTGTCTTTATAATTCGTACTTTGGTCATTATGTCCCTTCTTCCTTGTATTAATCATTTATAATTATATTATAGAATATAATTATCTGATAAAATTTATTTATGTATGATTTTGTACAGACAATCCATTTATTAACAGGTAATATAATTTTTTTTTAATTGTTGTTACCTATCAAATAGTTTTATTATTTGGCCTTGTGAAATATTTTTAAAAAATATTTCAAATCTTAAAAAATTAGATTTATCCAAATTTTTTATGTTAAATAATTTATATTTTTTATCCTCATTTAAATGAGATAAAATTATTATAATTATTTCAATAAAAAAATTAAAAATTAAAATTTCATTTAAAATTAACTTTAACATTTTTATACAACATACACATTTTTTTTATCTTTTATTTAAACTATGTAAATATGTTGTTAAACAATTTTGAAGTTTTGAACTTCATTTATTTTTTTTTTATTATATGTTACCTAAAGTGCGAATATATTTAAATATTGTGTTCTTATTGTTAAATTTGTAATATATGTTTTCAATATTTTTCATCTTAAATCAATAGATTTTTGTGTAGTAATCAATAAAACTAAACGCATTGCATGAAAAATGTGCATTCTTATAATTTCGTCATATATAGTAAAATATATAACCAACTTTTTTTTTTAAATTATTTTTCAGTGTATAAGTTTAAATAAAGTGTTATAAAAAGATTTTCTTCAATAAGTTAAGTAAGCTTATAGGTTCATAATAACATATAATACTTATAGTTATTTTTTTATTACTTATAGTTATTTTTTTTATTTATATTATAGTTATTTTTATTTACATTACAATAATATTTTTTTCAATGTTTCATATATCATATGATGTATGTAAAACAATGGTAATTATCTATAAAATTTCTTAAGAAAATAATTAAGGATAAAATAGGTGAAAATATATTTTTTATATAAATGGTAAATTGAAACTTTGTTGTGGGGTTAGGTCGATATCACATAAATAAGAAGATACTAACATATGACAAAACATTTATTAACCAAATTATTAATTTTTAATTAAAATAATGCTAAATTTATAAACAAATTAAATTATTGATTTTTATTATAAATATGTAAAAAAATAATTAAAAATAAAAATTATTTTCTTTAAATTTAAAATCACACATATCTCTTTTATCTTTTTCAATTTTCAAATACCTTATTATTATTTTCTTTTAAATTCAAAAAACACATACTACTTTATGCCTATTAATAATATGTGTTTCATCATTTTTTTTTTCGGAATTCAATTTTTCTTTTAGATTTATATTATTTTTGTGATTTTGTTGTTTATTTTACTTAGATAATTTTTCTTTTAATATTATTTTTATTCAATTCTTTTTTGTTTGTCACACATTTTTTAATTGATATTTTTTCAGTATTTTGATCAAAATCAGTACTTAATAAAAATATGTCGATACTTCTTTTTATTATTATTATTATTTTTATTTTTATTTTTTTTAAAGTAGGAATTTCATTACTCATATATAGCTTCTGTCATTCGCAGCAAGTCCAATGATAGTTTCTAGGAAGTCTATAACCCAATGATAAGTTTCACTATATCCCAGCGCCATTTTTGCCGATGAGTGGGACACCATATTCGCTTCACGCCTTGCAAAACTACGCTTCCACTCGGAAAAATTGTTCAGCCAAATCTGTACCTCATCCATTATGTGTCCTATTGGGGACAAGTTTTTCCCTTTATGATTAAGCTGCCTTGTGATCCACTATGCGTCCCCTTCTATATCAACGTTTTGGAAACCCACCTCAACTCCCCCATGTCACTACTTTAGTTACTGCCATTGCTTCGATGGTTACAGGGTCCCAACATCCAGCAACTTTTTTGCACATACCGCTCAGTATTTCCCCCGAATAATTCCTAGCTACCACCCCTATGCCTCCATTCCCCTCTGATGTATCCAGTGCTCCATCAAAGTTTATTTTGGTGGTGTCCTCTTTAGGAGCTTACCAACTCGTTTGTTTCTTCATTAGTGGCTCATCGCTTCTAAGTTGTGCTCTCTGATATTCCTTCAGGTAATTTGATGCAAAACTAGCGATTAGACTGGTAGCTCCTTTGTATCTGATTTTTAATTGCATCATTTCTGCTCGACCATAATGCCCAAGCTATAGTAAGAAGCCTTCTAACTGTATGGATATCTTTACCTGTTATAGTCATGCATATCCATTGTCTAATATTTTGCCACTGTTGCCCTATCCAACCATTACCCATGTTTGCCACCTTTCATACCTCCATTGCATGCATTACAGTTTCGTTGATCTTTGGCACAAACCTTTCTCACAAACCTTCCCTTTCTTTAGGTTTGCTAACACTGATAGGATTTCATGACACATCTTCCAAGTAAAGACTCCGATCTTGTTTAGGATATTTGCTCTCCATATCCACTTTCATATTTGCAGTGATTGTACTTACACTATCTTCATTTTGTCTGACACTATGGTTCTCAGAAGAGCTGCTCTGCTGGTCCTTACTCATTAGCAACCTAAACCCGCTCCTTACACTATAGTACCTTATTATGGTGCCACATAAGCTCGTCTTGGCTCCCCAGGTTGCTCAAAGGAATGAACCTAATTTCTCTTACTATATTGCATGGGAATAAGTTTTCCAATAAACTCGTATCCCACTGCTTGGGTGAGTCAATTATTAGGTCATTCACTTTGATGTCCGAGACTTCACCATTATCTCTTGGGACTGGGATAAAGCTAACCTTTCCAGGTATCCATGGGGCCTTCCAAACATCTATCTTTTCTCCATTACCCGCTCTCCACCGAACCCTAAGGCGCAACACCTCCCTTCTAGTATAAATGCTTTTCTAAATATATGAGAATGTCCTTCCCTCTTTAGCCTCGAGAAAAGTGAATGTAGGGAAATATTTCCTGTATGCCAGAGATGATGAGTTATGCAGTAAGCGCCACCCTTGCTTTACTACTAGTGCTATGTTGAAAAGGTCCATCTCTCTAAAACCCAAGCCACCTGCCCATTTTTCTTTGCACAGTTTACTCCATGAGAACCAATGGATTCCTCTCCATTCCTTACCACATCTCCACCAGTATCTGCACATACTACATCTCCACCAGTATCTACACATAATCATGTTCAGTTCTTTGTTTAGAGCCCTTGGTAGCATAAAGCACGATATGGCATATGCAACCATTGATTGTAAGACCGCTTTGACAAAGACTTCCCTTCTTTCATCCGAAATCAATTCTGGCTCTAAAACTGTACCCTTTTGCCGCATCTTGTTTGCAATTCCTCTAACACTATGTTTGGATAAATATTAGTAAAAGAAAGGAAAGGAAAATAAAGTAAAGAAAGGGAAAGTTTTTTAAAGGAAAAAAAAAGATATATGTATTATAGACACCTATTTGATCCGAGCCCAAACCAATTGGGCCTGGTTCAATATGATCCATATTATCAGGCCCAATTATCTATTTTCATTTTTATTTTATATTTTATTTTATTTTATTGGTTATTTATTTATTTGTTTTGTTGATTTTTCTTTTTTTTTTCGTTTGATTTATCTTTAATTTAAGTTAGGTGTAAAATAATAAGATAATAAAAATAATAATTAAAAAAAAGGATAATGTAGATTCTGCTGTGGATGGGTGTTAGCAGAATTGTAGTCGATTTTGGTCTCTCTTATGATAATACATAAATCTTATCAAAGGGAGTTATGGTTAATCAGAAATTCTTTTGATTACTCCCTATAAATTCACACTAATCAAGTAGAGCAATACATAGAAACACACAAATCACATATTAGAAACACAACAACAGGACAGAGCAGAGACAGAAAATAAAGGGAAAGCACACAAAAAAGGCAAAAAATATACAACAAAAAGTAGAACAATCAGCAAAAATAAAAAAAAAAATTTAAGATTTCTAGAAAAATCTGAAAAATTCTCAGATTCTGACAAAATTTTTCAAATTTTGATGAATTTTTTGGTGAATTTTTAAGCACCAGTTAAATTTTTTGACAAGCATCCCAGAATCCGATTGAAGATTCTAGTAATATTGAATTTTTCAATAAACGTCCGATGAAACAACCCAAATTTCAATGACTATTTCCAGAATCTGATGAAGGATTCAACCAGAATTCATCCATTTTAGAAAGAAAGGGAGAGAAAATAAAGGGGAAGAGAGAGGGAAAAGGAGAAATCTGAGGAAGAAAGATCGGATTTGGGCTTTTATACCAACTCCAAAATGACGTCGTTTTGGCATTTTAATTCAGCTCAGGATCCACGTGTTTTACTGCTAGGCAACCCGACCTGAGCGCTTGACCCATCTTCAACCCGCATCCCTGCCTTTGTCTCCTATCAAGTCAAGCCACCAAGCCGAGTTTCTAGAGCCACTTTCTACTTGAAGCTGAGCCGCATTGAAGCTGTCGAGTTAAGCCATTTCTATTTTTGAAAATTTTTTAAATTTAGTTTTATTTATTTTTATTATTTTGTATGATTAAATTTTAGGAAAAATAAAAAATATAAAAAAGAATAAATTTTTTTTTAGAATAAATATTAATTGTCCAAAGATGAAATTTTTAGAATTTCAAATGGTAAATTTCTATAAAATTTTTAAGTGAGAAATTTTATCTAAATTTATCTCAAATGGTGAAATAATTTAGATAAAGTTTCAACAACAATAATTAATATTTATTTTAAATAAAAAACTAAAAAATATATTATTTTTTGAAATTAAATACAAATTACCCAAGGATGAGATTCTTAAAAATTTTAAATGGTAAATTTTTTAGAAATCTCTAGGTAAGAAATTTCTCTAAACTTATCCCAAATGGTAGAATAATTTAGATGAAATTTCAATAATGGTATTCTTTTTCCAAAATAAAAAATAAAAATTTTTGGTTGAAAATATTTGACAATTATCTAAGGGTGAGAATCATAGAAATTT